TCTTTTCCCTTAAGCCTTCTGTGACTCTACACTGAAAGAAAAATGACAAATCCACTGGAGGAAATTCTTCTAAGAGGTCCTAAGGCAGTGATCACAGCAACAATTTCAATCAGACGAAGGACCCCATCCCTGATCTTCAAGTCATTTTGAACACCGCAGGTAAAATTAAATTCTCTAATTGCTTCTTCAACCAACCCTTCTATCCCCACTCTTGCTAACCTAAAAAGCTGACATATATTTTTAAAGTTATATTTGAGTATAACTTTCCTGTTCCTAAGTTATTACATTTGCCTGTCATCACTGGATTCTACATTGTCAGACAGGAAGTAGCAATTATTTGTTCAGGAAACACCTCTGATGAAATGAAATATAAATACAAGGATGTTTCTAGGCAAATAAGAAGACTATTATAGAAATATGGACAGCCTGGTACTTTCTTAAAATATAGACTTTACTTTAAGATCATACTAACTAACATGCTAAATATACTAAAAGTAGGTTTTGTTTCCTCCATTATAAAAAGCTTGATAGAAGATGCTCTGATTCCCTAGACTTTTCTGTTTAGCAGGCAGGAACTTCTTGTCCTTCTCCGCTATGTTTTTAGTAGAGCAGAAGCCAAAAAACTCTGCACTGTTTACTTCCTTATTTGTCCAACAAATCATCATCAGTGAAGTCAGGAGCAAACTTAACAACCCTGAAAGGAATGCTTATTAACTAACAGTATTCCAGGCAAGTTGAGGAGAACCCATAGCAGTACAAAAAATACGACTTAGCTCCAAGTTGCAAGTATTGAGTTATTACCAATTTCCCTAAACTCAGTTCCTCTCTAGAGGCAGAAGGATAAGTCAAGTCTTTGTAGTAATCAAAGTTGCACATAATTTTAATAGCATTTCTTAACCAAGTGAGTATACTACTAAAAAGATAGTTTTAAAACATGACTATTTTTAGCCTGATAATTGCATAAAGTTGCCCATGGTTGTTGTTTTACTTTCCCTTCACAAAATAATATCAATGCCTTAATGATAACCATTTGAAACAAAATAAAAAAACCATAAAATTATGTATGCCACCCTCATCCTATGAGGCTAAAAAAATATACAAATCTCTCTTAGAAATGGCATGCATACATATATACTTTCACTGGTGGCATTTTAATGGTTTGGTAAGTGATTAATCATCATATATGTTCTATTTGTTTATACTCCAAAGTATACTCTATTTTAAACATACCAATCATTTATTCGGAAGCATCCTCATCCATTACA